TTTAGAGATAGACTAAGCATTTGAATAAATGATGCAATAATTCACCCCCCCCCCGAGAGTGTTGAATTCTCATAAAACAATACTAATTGGTGTCTGTCCCAATTGTACCAGCTCAGTCTTACTCACTTCTTTGAAAACGGCTTGTACTTCCTACCTGTACCCTTCATTTAGCTTGTTTCAGGGACACCGGTTTTCAAGTGAGCCACCTAACAGGAGATTCGAATGTGTGCAGGCTGAGGGGCTGTTTCACAGCTGGTGGTGGTGGAGTGCAGAGCGGGATTTCTCACGGGTCCTGGGCTGGTGGCCACATTGTCTTCAGGGCCCCTGGAACCTGTGGGTGCCTAAGCCCCACTTGAGACCTACTGAATCAGAATCTTGAGAAGCCGAGACCTTGTCCTTTCTCTCACAGAGAAAATCTTGGTGTGTCCTAGTGCACACAAACAAGGTGAAACCAGGTGGCCGAGATGAAATTTGGGTCTTAGGTGCCTTCAGAGGCTTTAATCTTACAGGTTTTCCTCATTAATGGCTCCTCATAATGACCCACTTAAAGGACGTAAACTGATGAAATTGCAACAGCTAAAAATTATTTTTTAAATGTTATTTGGCTTTGACAGTGATCAGACCTGCTAGCTTGACACCTGGTGGTGACTGCCATGTAACTAATGACATGAATGGACAGATCCTTTGCTCCCTGCTAGTTCCAATGTGCTAACCAATGAAAGGAAATATAAAATTGGCTAAAAGTCTTGGGCTATAGCTTAGAATCTTTTTTTAAGTGTATGTGGACCTTTGGTTTATATGTTGCTTTGTATTATATAGTTTATCTGGTCTTGTTTATTTCCTTGTAAACTAAGTTGGTTGGGGAAGGACCTCTTGATATTTACAGCATTTCTTACAGTGCTCTGAAGCTCTAGATCTGTTTTTTTGACAGCATGTACGGTCTTCAATAAAGGTTTTGATGCCTTGCTTAAATGCGAATATAGAGACCTCTATTCTGTATTTCTACCTTTTTATTCTTTTCTTCAAAAGAACATAGGATCCAAAAAAAAAAAAACTATAAAGGCTTTTTGTCTTTCAGTTCCAGAGTGATCCTCTTGACCATCCATCCTAGGAACTGTCATTAGCAGAAAACATTGTTCCTTATCTATATGAGGTGCTCCTTTTTAGGGAGAAAGTAGAATTAGCAAATTGAGCAACATAGGAACACAGGAAGAAAGGTGAGTTTTTTGGCTCAGGAAAGGAGCCCTAATGTGCTTTAATACCACACCTTAACCATTTACCAATTGTTCTGTGTACAGAACTGTTTTTGAAATTACTGCCAGTTTCATTTATCCCGTTGCCATAAAGTGTTATAACACCATACAATCAGAGACCAAGTAATGTAACTAAAGGTCACAAAATCACATTTAGGTATGAATGTTTTCATAGGTCTAGAACTGTATGATTTCCATTTCTGTGCATGTGGAGATACAAATATAATCCTAAAAGTTTCTATTACGTTATTTTTGAAGTGGTCCTATGTGCTTCCATTGAACGTTTCCATTTCCTTCTTGGTGTGGGTCTCAGCAAATGCTACTCATGAGCTGGATTGATGGGTGCAGTTCCTATTTCCCCCAAGCAGAAGCCAGAGTAAAGAGCATTGCTCGTAGCTATAAAACGAACAACTACATTTAAGTGTCTTGGCTAACCAGACATATAAACAGTACCTCGAGTAGCAGTATAAAGGCAGTAACTTTTTATAACGAAGTTCTTTTCTTTTTCTAATTAAGGGATGTCACCCTTGTAGTTTTATATTTACTACAAGAAGGCCGAAACCCCGCAGAATTATCTCCGGGTTTTATGTCCATCATTTCCTCTCCCCCTACCCCTTCGACTTTTCAGAAGTCTGTGATCTAAATGTTGATGTAATGTCCACTTCACAGAAAACTTGAATTAATATTAGCTTGCAAACATCCTACAGAAGGGTACCACTTGATAAAACTGTACATTTAAAAAATAGTGTCTATTTTTTCTTTGGGTCATGTTTGAAGTAGATGGATTGGACATTTCAGTTTTTAGGGGCAATTATTCATGCTTTGACCTACTTAAATTTTTAAATGCTGACGGGTCTTTAGTAGTCTCAGATTGCATGCGTGTAAACAAATAGCTATGTAACTTCTTTTTTTTTTTTTTGAAAGCTAAATCTTGAAGTGAAAGTTATTCTGGCTTCACTGTTTTGATATAGGAACCAGAATTTTTAGATTCGTTTTACAGCTGTTTGCTCTGTTGGTCACTACCTGCGGTCCTGTCGTGGGTCCTTGAATTTGCCATCATTTCCTGCCCTACTGGCTTCTCTGGATCGTGGTGTGGGTAGTGGGGAGAATTGATAGGCGAGTGCTTTCCAGAGAAAGAATAGGAACTGGCTTCTTGCTTTTCTCTGACTGTTGAACTTCCTTCACTTGGATCCTTTTGAGTTTTCTTACCCCTGTATTATAATTCTGTCATAATTTGTCACATATTTTTTTTTTTAAAGACTTTATTTATTTATTTGAGAGCGAATGAGAGAGAGCACATGAGAGGGGGGAGGGCCAGAGGGAGAAGCAGACTCCCTGCCGAGCAGGGAGGCCGATGCGGGACTCCATCCAGGGACTCCAGGATCATGACCTGAGCCGAAGGCAGTGGCTTAACCAACTGAGCCACCCAGGCGCCCTATTCTTTTTTTTTTTTTTTTAAGATTTTATTTGAAAGAATGAGAGAGCACAAGCACAGGAGCAGGGGAGAAGCCGACTCCCTGCTGAGCTGGGAGCCTGACCCTGGGCTCGATCCCAGGACCCCGGGATCATGACCCCAACTGAAGGCAGACGCTTAACCGACTGAGCCACCCAGGCACCACTAAAGCTAGATTCTCAGTGAGCTGGTTTAAGGATCCAAAGAATTTATGACCAAAAACAACAAAAAACAACAAAAAGAAACTTACATGTCTTGTTTCTACATAAGGGTGACTGTTATATTCTGAGTTATGAGTCCAACTCTAACTTGAAAGGGCTGTGCAGCTTTAGGCATTCAAAGTTATAAAAAAAAAAAAATAGTTTCTGGCTATTTACATCTTCTGTATTTTGCATGCTGTAACTTCCACCCCCCCCCCCCGACTTTTCCTGTCTGGTACTGTATTTTCTGTACCTTTTATGCAGTCTTTAAATGATGAATCTTGCCTGGGCTCTGCTCTGGTTTAAAATTGTTTTTCCATTCTCTCGACATTGCTTTTATGGCATTTTCCTCAGGCAACTCAAACTGGTATTTGGGGCTATTTAATTGAAGAAGGTGTTTTCTTTTTACCGTGGCGTACTTTTCTAAACGAGATTCCAGCCGGATCCTTTGTCTTTGGCCTGCCTTTTCAAGATCAGGCCACCTAGAATGCCCTTGTGTTGGTAGTTGGCTCTATTCCTAGTCTTGTGAGAGGAATGCGGAACGACCCCTTTCGGTGTGATGCCTGTTGTGATTGGGGCGGTATCTCTGGCTGAAGAATAGAGATGAGTTCACCATGTGCAATGGGCTGGAGATCTCTGTTGGTGGGAAATTGGTACATAACAGTGAGCAGTTAGGAGGGGTCTTTCTACTGCTTTCTACCCACACGGTCTTTCTACTCCTTTTTCTGTGAACTTGCGAGCCCTTTGCTGGTGTTTAATTCTAGTAATGGCCTCTGGGAGGTGACTGTGGCCCTAAGTATTCAGAAATCTTAACCGTTCTGCCCAGGAGTTTACCCACCTGTAAGGACTTCCGTGCTTGTTATTTTCAAAGGCTGAAGGTAATATTGAAGACCACTTCTAGCCCAGAATTAAATACTAGTTCTGTTAGTTCAGTACTGTCCCTTCTTTGTTCCCAATTTAACAGAGCGTTTAGGCTAGAACCTAGTGGTGTGGCTTAAGTGTGGTCTGTTACTCAGCTTTGGTTATACACAAAGCTCATTCTGGGCCCCTCTAGTTACTGTATTCCTTGCCCTAGAGGAAGGAATGTCTTGGTCAAAGAACAAGAGAATCTGGGATAGTGATTTGCTTTGTACAATTTTTTAATCTGGATCATCACTGAGATAGATTGGTGAGCATTAATAAAGGTGTATGCCAGTATACAAACATGAAAAATTTCATTCTGTCCATGTTGAAGTTAGTGCCACTCAGGCTGTTATATGATGAATGCTGACACATGTTCTTTTATACTTCTAAAATCAGGTCTATTTAGGAATGCACTTGACCCTTTTTCTGCCCTTTTAAACGGTCTAATGCTACTGAATAAGACGAGGGAGCATTGGAAATTGATTCCAGCTCCTTGAATACAAACTCTTGCCTGACTCCAGAATTTATAAAACTTAGATTTCTGGCCGCCTTTTTCCCCCTAAATGCTTTTTCTTTTGAACACCACTTTGTAAGAAACTAATTTATTCACTTTTTAAGGTGGCCTTATGTTTGTCTAGCAGGGAAATCAAAAGGGTTCTCAAAGAAGCTAGCAATGAAATTGAAAAGTGTCTACTGTCACCACTGGTGATAAATCAGACTGATGTTAAAGATGCAAATAGTCATTCCGGTACTCTCTTCGTTACTAGAATTGTTTAAGTTAATTAAGCCAGCAAAGTACTTCATTATCTACTATGCTGCATGCTAATGGTAGATTTAAAGTTTCACTGTCCTATGGTTCAGATTTTTTTTCACATTTTAAATCTCCATATCCATTGTGTCCTAAGTCCATATACTTGTAACTAATATTGTTAATCGGGAACATGTTTATTGTAGCACAGGTTTCTGGTTTGTCAGGTTTGCAAGTCCAAGAAATCTTGGGAAGTGTTTGAAACTACACATTCAGAGTACCTTTTGTCCATCTTCTTGAGAAGGTGATTAAAACAATGTATAATTCATTTTTATTAGACTGTCAGGAATTTAATTATGTTCAACTTAGCACTGTAGAATTTTTAAATATTAACTAAAAAACTGTTATAAAGTACTGATGTGATTGGTTTCTTTCATTTGCAGCATTTAAATATTAGGACCCTGACGGATGATATGGTAAGGTTATGCTCAACATTTCTTTTGTTGTGAATCTTAACTAACCATGTAATGTGGATGGCGTGCTATGCTAACACCTTTGAAACTGCTTAAAAACCTGCATGGTTTGGAAATGTGCTTTTTTTTTTTTTTTATAGTGCTAAAATAGAGACAGAACTGGTAAAAAAAAAAAAACATTTTTTTGCTTTTAAATAGTAAAAGGAACTAGTTGATATCTTAAAATTGTTTAATTACAAATTGTTAGTCAACTTTGAATCATTCAAATCAGCTCTCATTCTTTGGGGGATGAATTGCACACTTCAGAAGGAGGTAAAAAAAAATAGCTAAAGACATTCAGCTTTTTTGAAATATGTAGTTGCTAATTAAAGTAAACCAGACTAAAAAATCATGCATGTATTTAAAAAAAAAAAAATACTGCTCAAAAACACAACCAAGCATTCCTTCCTATTCTGTCTGTTGATAATAGGCTTGCTTATAAGTAACACTTTATATCACCATTACAGATTCTTGTATATTCAAGTACATGTTTTTGAAAAATAGATTTTTGAGTGTAACTTTTGGCTAATGATAAAGGATAATAACAGCAAGGCCCAAATTAACAATAATAATGAAAGAACAATAGGACCAAGCACAGTGCCCTGTTGACCTGGTTTTGAATTAGAATTTACCTTTAATATGAAACAGAGTGCCTAGAACATAGTAAGCACTCAAAAAAATGTTTAGCACCCCTGTTATCCAAAGTACCATCTTGGGTACTTGGATAAGGTGGACATGTGAAGCTGAAGGAGATGTAGATCTTGACATGCAGGACTGAAGAAATAGAATGTTCTGTTTTGTTCCTCTGGATAATATCTAAGAAGGTTGATGTAAGCTTTTCTGGATAATGTTTTTCATGTAATAGTATTTAGGAAGTTGTAGTTCTATGGAGTGCTTACACAGAGGACATGTCATTTCTTACCCTGCAAGGTAGATGTTGTCCTCGTCTTAGCACTCAGTTGCTCCAAGGGTCAGCTAGGTTCAGTAAGCCGTTTGCCCAGCTATGTGCAGCTGGCCAGTGGTGCAGCCGTGGCTTCACTCTTGTTCCACAAAGTTCTGAACCCATATGCTTACTGTGCTGACTTAGCCTTCAAATGGCTGCTTATGACTGCAATAAAACCATCTGCAATTTTTTTGTTTGAACATCCATGAGAATATACAATGGTAGATCTGTAATAGTCTTATTAAAATACAGTTTATATAGCCTATAGTTCATCCATGTAAAGTGTACAGTTGGATGGTTTTATTCAGAGCTATACAGCCATCACCACAATCCGTTTTAGAACATTTCCATCACCCAAAGAGAAACCTCCTACTTAAAAGCAGTCACTCCCCACTCATGCCCAACTCTGGCAGTGCTCAGCAATGGCCAGGCTACTTGATCTGCAGATTGCCACTTGTGGACATTTCCTATGAATGGAGTCATGATAAATGAAAGAATTCAGTCACAAAAGACCACTTTGCATAATGTTTTCAAGGTTTATCTGTGTTGTAGCTTGATCACTACTTTGTTCCTTTCTATTGCTGAATGCTATTCTAGGACATGTGAGGTTTGTTCATATTTTATGGGCACCATACATTTTTTCCTTTTTTCATTGAGCTGCCGCTCTTACCCTCTTTATGACTGACCTTGCACATTGCCAACCCACAGCCTCTACCCTAAGTTCTAGAAATAGGCCTGTTTCTTTTCTAGAGTGGCTTTTGCAGGTCATTCTGGAAGCCATCTTGCTCTGATCTTACATTAGTAAATAGGCTCCTCCTCAGTGAAGACTATAGTCCTCTCTCTCCTTTCTGCCTCCATTCCTGCTCTCCCCTCATCCTTGTAATCGGGCTTGGGAAGGTCAGGACTTTTGGGAAGTTACCAGAGTGCCTTGTGTGGTATTTTTATCAAACCAGTATATCACTCTGTGAACTTCTCACCAGTTTAAACATCAAGGAAGAGACAATGTGTTAATTACTTCCAGGTATATTGTCTGGTACATGGTAAGCATTTTCACTAGTTTTTCATTGAGGGAATAAAAGAATGAATCCCTGTTTTTGATTACTTGCCTAGTATTGTGGTTTCCTTGGACCTGGGGATGGCTTGGTCCTGGTTAGGCTTTCCAGAGATGGACTCTTGCCTTTGCATAGGGTAAAGAAGCTTTAACAACAAAACAAAAAAACAAAAAACCTTTGACAAGAGCTTGCTGTCAGACTTTCTGACCACCTGCCTGGATCACTGATGGTTGCCTTGCCCCTGCCTTTCTCTTCGATGTACACATGACTCTTTCTTCTAGATTCCTTCTTGGCCTTTTTCCCCTTGACCAGCTGACTGAACTACTGTCTCCCCAGCTCTTGATGTTCGCTTCTGCTCTTGTGCTTTAGCCTGGCTCTTGAGTAGGCCAGCGCTTAAGTCCAGGAAAGGATCAAGCAGGCATCTAGTTCAGGCAGCTGGATACATTGTTGTGGAGCTTAGAGAAGAAGCCTGGCTATCTTGAAGAAGACACGCTGAAAAGCAAACCTTACTCATTGATGCAGTGTGGAAAGAGCATTAGATTAGGAATCAGAAAACTCTTGTTGAAAGACAGAACTTCACCTCTTAGCTCTTTGACCTTGGCAAATCAATTTGATCACTTGTAGAGCAGGACTGATTATACCATCTCTACTTTTGTCATAAAGTTTTGAGTTTCACTTAGGCTGAAGTGTGTTGAACTGCTGCATTCATTTGTCCCTTTTTAACCCCTTTTAAAAATATTTCCCAACGTATAGACAGTAGGGTGATGTGATGCATTTGTAGTTGAGCCTTATATGCTCACAGACCAATGCAGAACATGGAGGGAGGGAGGAAAGGGTAGCTGGTTATCTTGGGGCCTCTGTTTAACTGTTTCTGGTGAGTTAGAGCTCAGGGGAGCATTTGCCATGGATGCTTTGATGTGTGCTGGCAATGTGTTTTCTAATTAAAGGTGGCTACCCCACAACATATATGTTGCATGTGTACTTTTGATTTAGAACTTTTTTTTAAAATTTTATTTGTTTGACCGAGAGGGAGAGAGCACAAGCAGGGGAGCAGCAAGCAGAGGTGGGATCATGACTTGAGACGAAGGCAGATGCTTAACCGACTGAACCACCCAGGCGCTCCAATTTAGAACTTTTTAATGAGAGAATAGCATGTTTTGGGTAGAACTTGAGAGAAGGTACATAAAATGGTGTCAGCTGTAGTCACATCTTTGAATAAGAGTATTTTAGAAACATTAAGTTGAAACATTCTGGGAAGCATTAATGTTAAAAACCCCATTTAAGTTGCTTTGTTGAAGGCCTACAAAAATACTTCACATTTCAAGGTTATTTCTTGAGTTAGTCAGGATTTCACCGACACTGTCCAGTTGCAGGAAGGAAGTATTGCTGTAGTGTTCAGATCCCTGGTCAGAGTTCATATACTTGAAACCGTGTTTGTTCTACAAATATCTGAGCATTCATGATGTATAAAGTGCAATCCAAGGTGAAAAAGTCATTTAGTTTACAACCATCCATTGTCTATGCCTGGGTTAAAAAGAGCGCTTTCCTTGTAGAGACAAAAAGATTGAGACGGGGCAGTGAAGGGAGCCGGGATTGGAAAGGTAAACAGCAAGAAATTGAACGTGGACGACACAATGCTGAATCCTCCATCAGTGTGTCCACAGAGTGTTTTTGCATTTTGAGTAGAAGTCGTTTTGACTTGCTTACCGTCCCTCCCAACCATTTGTCTCAAGTGTTGGGCTTGTACTGATTGTCTCTTTTATCCCTTCTGCAGCCAGTATTACTGTTGTAATCTCTGGTGTGACCTGCAGCAATGATTTTCAAATTTTCTTGGCTGCGACCTACAATAAGAAGTACCCTTTTGTAGCCCAGCACACGTACACATATAAATTCCCCTGCAGTTGAAACAGTTTTATATATGACTATTTCATGTTTCTGAGCATAGTGAACTCTGATCTTTTCTTTTCCACTCTTTTTCCTTCCATTAAAAAAAAAGTTGCGGGTGCCGATCGAATCCACTACATTGATTTCTTGTCCCACACGTGGCTCACAAGTAGAACTTGAAAACAGACCTTGGCCCAGACAGCAACCAGAGGACGTCCTCCGGTCTCTCCGAGTGTCTGCTCTTCACTTTATGACATGTAGCTGAAAGGGGAAATCTGGGTTCGGGTGCTGGCTCTGCCACTTACTAGCAGTGTGACTGCGCAGGACTCCTCTCTCTGTGGAGACTTGGTATCCCTGGTGATGGAGGTTTGTAAGGGAGAACTACTGCCGAAATGCTTGGAGAACTATGCATTTACCATACTCGTGGTATAGATAGGAACATGCGTTGTTTTGTTTTTTTTTTTTTGAGGAAGCATTTACTTACAACATAATGCGCCAATCTTATGGGTATAATCTGATGCATTTTGACAAATGTATACAATCATGCCTACATGAGGATTATGATATAAAAGCTTTCCATCACCCCAAAAGATTCCCTCTGTGCCCTTTGCAGTCAATCCCTGCCCCCTGCCATCTTGGCTCTTGGGAATCATGAATCTGCTTTCTGAACTACACAGTTCAGTTTCTAGGATTTCATATAAATGGAATCCCTTAGTATGTTGCCTTTGTGTCTGGCTTCTTTTACTTAGCATAATGCTTTTGAGACCCCTCTAGTGCTATGGGTGTATCAGAAATTTGTTCTTTTTATTACTGAGTAGTATTCAATTGTTTGGTAATACTAGTTTATATTCACTAGTTTGGATTTCCAGTTTTTGGGGATTGATAAAGCTGCAAACATTTGAGTACAGTTCTTGTGGACATGTTTTCATTTTGGAAGGGGAATAAAGTGGTAACTATGACCATAAGAAACTGACAAACTGTTTCTCCTAAATACTAATGTTGAGTATCTTTTATTGTGCTTATTTGCCACTCCTCTCCTGTAATGTCTATCACAAGATACAGGGCCATTCAAATTATTCTTGAGT